TTCAACTGAGAAAGCTAAGAGTAGAAATTCCTTTTCTGCTTATTGTGATAAATCTGTTTTAGAGTTCTGAAGTAGAGTGGTGCCAAATGCAGCCAGTTAAATGGGACACCCTTTCCAACCTTGCACACCTTCTAGGTATAACCCAATGCTCCAAGAAGGTCTTGCAGTCTCACATCTAAATTAGTGCTTGCTAACTTCAATTTCTCTTTTCTGTTACTACTATCCATTTGCTCAGTTAGGTATTTTCCTGTACAACCAAAAGCATCAGGTGGACTTACAACTTTCAGTAGAGTAGGCAACTCCAAAGTTCATCCTTCTTCACTCTAAAGCTTTTAAAACTGTTTATCATCATGCTTTGTTTTCGTCTTTCAGCAAGAAGTTTGTGTAGCAACACTGTATTGAAAGTGCTGCAGATAGTTCTCCCTTTCTTCTAAGGCTTTAATTAACTTCAAAAAGAAACCGTGAGTCTGATCAGTAAGAGACAACTTGGGAAAATAAAAAGTACATGTATGATGCAATATCAGTAAGTGATCGCTAAACCGTGACCAGTGGTAAAGTGCTAAAAAAAAAAAAAAGTCTTTGAAACACAAAGGTCCTAAGGTTTGTTTGGGGTTGTGTAAAATATTTTAATCAATTGCAATCAAACTGCATAAGTGGCCTTGAAGTTAGCTGATAGCTTCTGAATATGGTACTGATTTAACCGTGTTTCAGAAATGTTTTCCAACATATTTTCATAATTGCACCATAAAATAAAAATATCTACTCTTGCAAGGCAAACAAGCTACATAAAAAAATCAAAGCAGCTTTCTTCGCTTTCCGTAGTTGAGACACGTTACTTGTACATGACAAGCGAACTTTCCAGCCCCGAGGCTCCAGGAGCCGGTTTCATGCTAAAGCACAGGCGCGTTCCTTTGTTTTTGCAGTTGTCAGTAAGTTTTGTGTATTTGCATTCTGTGGCAGAACGACGACACTTTTCATGACTTACTGATTCTTATGACCACCAAGGTGACGTTACCATGAAAATACCTGGCGGGATAGAAGTCTGATTTGAAAGCAGTGACAAGCGCAGGGTAGCTCCAAATTCTGCAGAATTAGAAAGTCTTAAAGAAAGCTAAGAAATAGAGTGAAATGATACAATAAAATGTCACAAAATTCCTCATAAAAGCTCTTTATGGGGATTGTGGCAAACACGTTGGCGCAAACATTTGCACGATGCCACTCACTTGAGAACGCAAGACTTAAGCCCTGCAGAGGCTAAGTAACTTACACCAAGTATTCCGTGCTTTTAATCTTCAGGCAACACTTGGAAAAAGCGGTCAAGCTTTTCTTCTTAGTATTCTGCAAGTTAGCGAATAACATACGTCAGCCTAGACCAAAAAGCTTCGCGTGGCGAGCGCGGAAGGAGTGGAGCGGTGCTTTATCTTGCAGGCGTTGCGCGGCGCGCCGCCGTCGCGCGGGCCTTCTGCGCACGGGCC